ACTTGACTTGGTTGATTATACAACTATAACTTGGCTTGCAAATATCAAAAAAGATGAATAGATAGAACTTATTCATCAAATTACATCAAATTCATAAATTTGGTTGTTATATTTGCATTCAATTTATAAACTATTAGCATTAGTATAATTCAATATATATAGATAAATTTTGTTTTAAATTTGCATAATAGATTAGTTTACAAAATTAATAAATTGTTATATAGTTTTTGCTTTTAAGTGACACAAAATAATATTAAATGTGATAGATTAAAATGAAATATTGTATAGTACAGTATAGTTAATACTATCTAATTGCATACTATAGTATCCGTCAGACTTTTTTATATATACTGCATAAACTATATACAATTAGATAGTATCAACTGCATAAAATATAGATAAGTACTGAAAAGTAAAAATTAAAAGCCTGCTCTTTGTTTTAATTATGTATATAATTTAAATTATTTGAAGATAAATACAATGCTATCTCTTTTTTTTTTTATGTTCTTACTCTTTCTTTTTTTACGTATCTGCTATATTTCTTCTCATACACATTTCTTTTATACATTTATAACTTTACAGATGGATAACATTAACCAAGCTACCTCTGGTTCAAAAACTTCAACACCATCACTATGAAAGAAATTGCTAAAGCATTAGATACTATATTTGAAAATTTAAATGAAACTAATTCCAAACTAAACCATATTAACGAAGTATTTGAGCAATACCAAGAAACTGTTTCTATTCAAGCTACAAAGCTTCAAGACATGGATAATAATTTAAATACAACATTTCAAGAAACGTTTTCTACTTTAAGCATGAATATTTTAGAAATATATAATAAAGTTACTAAATATACTGACGATCAAAATAATATATTAAATATTCTTGAAGATATTAGATCTGAACACTCTCACGAGCCACTTTCAGAAATAATTAATCCAAAAAATAAATTAATTAAGAATTCAACTCGATATTTTACATCACATCCTACTTTGTGGAATCCAATTCGTTACAAGATAAACAGTCATCAAAATTCTGAAAATATAGATAAAACCTCCTTCAAGTTTAACTTAGAAAAACCACTAGGCGATCATTATAATCGGAAAAGGATAAATAATTACATAAGATTTTACCTTGAAGATTATAATAAAAGAAGTGAAGATTTACGTAAGTATATAGAAACATTATTATATATATATATATAAATATTTGAATAATATATATTTTTTTTATAAATATTAGAACAAAGAGAGTTATGGAGTAAAGATGCCGTAAGAGATATAATTATTGGATATGTTGGATACCTTCACAAATGAAATATGTCTTCAAAAGAGAAAATTGAAAATAATAAAGTGTTTAATAGAAGAAGAGCACAAAAAATTCAGGTATATGCAGCTTATGTAATATTTTTAATCTTTGTACGACTTTATAATAATTAATATAATTTGTATTAATTATATATATATTTAGAAAGCAAAAAAATGATATGAATGTACAAAACTTATGAATCTTGATGAATTAGGTCAATCTTTATCTGATATTGAAAAAGTAATAAAACCTGAATATACAAGTTCAGAAATTAGTGGCGAAGAAAATGAAGATGTATTTTATATTGTTCAAATTCCATGGCGAAATCAAAGTGTAAGTTTA